AACTTGCAATCTAACCCTAATCAGGTTGACTGCTTCTAAAAACAAATAAGAATCAACACTCTCCACAGGATTTTAACAGGACCAAAAATGTATAACACTATATTCAAAATGTTCAAGATATAATCCAGAATCACTCAACATGTAAAAACCAGGAAAATCTGACCAATTCTCACGGGAAGATACAATCAACAGATGCCCAGATGTTGGAATTATAAGACAAAGACTTTAAAGCATTTATTATAACCATCCTCTCTGAGGTAAAGGTGAATACTAGTCAAATGAATGGAAAGACTGAAGTCCTTAGCAGAGAAATAAAAACTATAAAAGAGAAACAAATGCAAATTTAGAAAATTACAATATCTGAAATAAGAAATTCAGTGGATGAGCTCAATAACAGATTGGATATTACAAGGGAAAGAGTAAGTGAACTTGAAGCTAGATCAATAAAAATTATACAGTCTGAAGAACTGACAGAAAAATATTGAAAAAAATAAACAGAGCCTCAGGGACCTGGGAGACCAAATGAAAAGGTCTAGCATTCATGTCATTGAAATTCCAGGAGAAGAGAAAGAGATTGGTGCAGAAAAAAATATCTGAGGAAACAGTGGCTGAAAACTTACCAAATTCAGTGGAAGACATAAACTCACAGATTCAAGAAGCTCAGTGAACCCCAAACAGGAAAAAAAAGAAAAGAAAATCATGCCCAGACATATCATAATCAAACTGCTAAAAACTAAAAACAAAAAAATTTTGAAAGCAAACAGAGAAAAGACATAGTACTACAAATGAGGGAGTGGTGATTCGAATGACAGTGGATTTCTCACCTGAAATCATGGCGGCCAAAGGACAGTAGAACAGCATCTTTAAAATGCTGAAAGAAAAGAACTCAGAATTCTATATTCAGCGAAAATATCCTTTAGAAATGAAGATAAAATAAAGACACTCTAAGATGAAGAGCAACTAAGAGAATTTTTCATCAACAGACCTGTCCTAGAAGAAGTGATAAAGGAAGTTTTTCAGGCTTAAGAGAAATGATACCAGAGGAAAACTTGAAAATTCAGGAATGGAAGAAGAGCAACAGAAATTAGAAATATTTTTTCTTCTTTATTTCTTTAAAATAGGGACAACTATTGAAAGCAAAAATTGTAATATTGTGGGGGGGATCCAATATATGTTGGTGATACTATAAAATAAAGGAGGGAGGGGAAAGGAACCTATATGATTATAAGGCCTCAGTGTTTTACCTAAAGTGGTAAAATAATAACTCTAAATATTTAGACTACAAAAACTAGGTATGTAAATTATAATCCTTAGAACAACCACTAAAAAAAGTACAAAAAAAGAGAGCAAAATAGAAAATAAATAATACAATGGTAGACCTGAATCTAACTTATCAATACTTACATTACATTGGTATCAACATACCAATTAAAACACACAAATCCAAAACCAAAAATCCGTTGCCATCAAGTCAGTTCCAACTCATAGCAACCCCACATGTTAAAGAGCAGAACCAAACTCTATAAGGCTTTCTTGGCTGTAATCTTTACGGAGACAGATTGCCAACTCTTTATTTCACAGTGCCACTGGGTTGGTTGGAACTGGCAAACTTTCAGTTTGCAGACAAGCGCAAACCCACATAGTCAAAGATTGGATTTTAAAAAATAACTAGACCCAGCTACATGCTGTCTAAAAATATCTACTTTAAATACAATGATATAGAAAGGTTACAAGTAAAAGGATGGAAAAAAGATATACCAGGAAAACAAGAATTAAAAGAAAACTAGAGTAACCATACTAGTATCAGACAAAGTAGACCGTAGAACAAAGGAAATTATCAGCAATAAGGAGGGATGTTATGTAATAATAAAAGGGTCAATTCACCAACGACAAACCTAAGAACAAATTACCAAAACTACTCAAACTCAATCAAGAAAAATAGATAACCTGAAAGCCCTATATGTGTCAAAGAAATTGAATCTGTGGTTAAAAACAGGCTAGTTCTAAAATTTATATGGAAAGATGAATAAGAATAACTGAAACAACTGTGAAAAAGAAGACTAAAGTTAGAGGATTCACACTACCTGATTTCAAGACTTAACTACTAAAAAAAAAAAACCAAATCCGTTGCTGTTGAGTCTATTCCAACTCATAGCAACCCTAAAGGACAGAGCTGCTCCATATGGTTTCCAAGGCTATAAATCTTTATGGAAGCAGACTGATACATCTTTCTTCCGAAGAGCAGCTGGTGGGTTTGAACTGCCGACGTTTCAGTTAGCAGCCAAGTGATTCAACCACTACGCCAGCAGGGCTCCTAGACTTACTATACAGCTACAATAATCAAGACAGGGTGATACATGTGAAAGGATACTGTGATGGTTAATTTTATGTGTCAACTTGGCTAGGCCATAGTTCCCAGTGGTTTGGCCAAACACTAGTCTAGTTGTTACCATGGAATAGTTACATACGACTAAATCAGTTGGCCTTGGGTAGAGAAGATTACCTTCTGTAATGTGATGTAATGCAATCACCTTCCATAATGCAATCTATTGTAATACAATCAATCAATCAGCTGAAGTTATACCAGTGTACAGTGGATCCGAAACCTAATTACTTCTGAGTTACATGGCCAGAATAGACACAGAGAGACCCACACACTGGGTAAGACAGATAACATATGAGGACTGTCTATAAGCAAAGGAATGCCAAAAATCATGGGCAGACACCAGAAATCAGGAGAAAGGCTCACAAAAGAAATCAACACATCTAAGACCTTGATTGGGATTTTTAGCCTCCAGAACTGTGAGAAAATAAATTTCCATTCTTTAAAGCCAACCACTTGTGGTGTTTCTGTTATGACAGCATTAGGTAACTAGACAAATACACATAGATCAATGGAATAGAGAGTCCAAAAATAGACCCACACAAATATGGTCTATTGATTTTTGATAAAAGTAGAAGTGAGACAGGCAGCCTCAGAGCTCAGCCCTTCTAAGAGACACCTGCTCTGGCTTATCCTCCTACACCAAGCAAAATAGGCCACACATTCTTCTGAAATTGTCCTTGACAAGATAACTACAGATGGCCATAGCTGGCCTCAACTGGTTTTAGCAGGTTTTCAACACTATCTTAGCACTTTAAGTGACCTATTAACTCATTAAGTGCAAAATACATATAAACACCCTTCCTCTGGGTAGAGACTTAAAATGCTAATGAAAGAAGATTGACCACTTCTTCCATCCATCCCAGGTGTCTTAGTCATCTAGTGCTGCTATAACAGAAATACCACAAGTGGATGGCTTTAATAAACAAAAGTTTATTCTCTCACAGTCTAATAGGCTAGAAGTGCAAATTCAGGGCACCAGCTCCAGGGGAATGCTTTTTCTGTTGGCTATGGAGGAAAATCCTTGTCATCAATCTTCCCCTGGACTAGGAGTTTCTCTACGCAGGAACCACGAGTCCAAAGGATGTGCTCTGCTCCCGGCACTGCTTTCTTGGTGGTATGAGGTACCCTCTGTCTCTCTGCTAACTTCTCTCTTTTATATCACAAAAGAGATTGGCTCAAAACACAATCCAATGTTGGAGACTGAGTCCTGCCTCATGAACATAACTGCCGCCTATCCCACCTCATTAACATCATAGAAGTAGGATTTATAACACATAGGAAAATCATATAAGATGACAAAATGGTGGACAATCACGCAATACTGAGAATCATGGCCTAGCCAAATTGATACACGTATTTTTGGGGATACAATTCAATCCATGACACCGGGGAATCAAACCCTTGTCTAAATAAAATGCATAGTCATCCCCAAGCTCTGGACTCCTGCACGAAGGTTGGTCCTGAAAATTTATAATAAAGATATTACATTTCCTTGTCTGCTCTCTGTAAAAGGCTGCCTCCCCAAGCTGCCTGTGAGTAGTCTTGGAGGCAGCAGCCCCGACTGCTCCTTTCCTTCCATAATCAAACAAATGTGCCTTTCTACTCTCCCACCTCGGCCTCTTGTTTATTGGCTGTAATGAGTCACACCCAGCAAAACCTGGGGTTTCCAACCAGCAACACAAGGGCAATTCAATGGAGGAAGGACAGTCTTTTCCACAAATGGTGCAGCAACACTTAGACATTCATATGCAAATAGACGAACCCTTAATCTATAATTCACACCACACACAAAGTTAATTTAAAATGGATCATAAAATCAAATCAAACCCGTTTCCATCAAGTCTTTCCAACACATGCCACAGTGCTATATCCTACATCTGTGCCTTTACGTATTTAGTTTTCTTGGCCTAGAATGCCTCTTCATCTGAGTACTTCCTAACCCACCTTCAAGCCTCTATTCAGGAGTCAACCTTGGTCAACTCTAAAGCCCACCTAGGTTGAAATTAGAGTCCCTCTGGGTTCCTAAACCACCTTGAACATACCTTAGTCCCTAGACTTCTCATATTATACTGAAGTTGTCTGTTTACGTGTCTTTCCTGGCCTATAGGTTTCTCAAAGGCCGTGGACTCATCTTGTCCATCTTTTCCCTGCATCTAGCACAGAGGACATGTTCAATAAAGGCCTTGATAAACTTAACTACTAATGTTTTATTACAAAACTATCCGTGTCCGGTTTGGCAGGATTCAGTTACCCCCATCACACATCCTTTCCCCAGAGAAATTCTGTTAAATGCATTTGAGGAGTTTAAACCCAAGACTTTTTTGCCTATGCCCCAGTCCAGCAGGAAAAGGCTTTTGAAAAAATGCCACAAATCCACCGACTATAAACCTCATTTTGTCCTAAATTACGGGGGTGAGGGTGGGGGGGCTTGTTTATTTACAAGTTCTTAGCTCAGGAAGGGCTGTCTGACTTAGCTTCCCTCCTGCACACAAGTATACGACCTGCTGGTAACAATTTCTACTCAGAACTCCTACGCCCTCAGGGGGCACTACCCCGCCGGTGGCCAGGCCTGGGAGCGCGAGGTTGTAGGAGCTACGGCCTTAATGGTGGTCACCTTCTCCAGGGCAGCTCCTCGTCTTCCAGGTCGCTATCCATCACTGACCCCTCTATCATGGTTTCATCACTGTCCCAGTCCGGGGCCTGGGCGCCTTCCTCCATCTTCGCCTCGCACTCGGAGTCTTTTCGCACTACTTCGCTAACTCCCCACTTCGACAAAAAAAAGGCGTTCTGAAGGCCTGGGTAATTGTGAGTTAAAAAAAAATAACAATAAAATTCTTGGCGGGGGCAGGGCCCCGCAGTGCGGGATGAAGGCACTGAAAAGGTTGCGAGGTCGTCCACGTCACACAGACCGTCCCGGTCGGTCGCCTCGCCGCCTGCCGCCAGGAAGCGGCAGCCGCGCGCCACACGTCTGAACCGCGCGCCGCGTGCGGCTCCGCCCCCGACTCCCGGGGCCGGAAGTGGTAGGCGGCGCGCGCCCGCCTGCGGCGGATTCCATGGCCGCGCGGGCGAGGCTCCCCAAGCCGCCGGATCTGTGCGGTTTCCCGTGCTACTTCACTGAACCGAGGGAGGATCGAGATTGCGGCCGCGGGTAGCAGAAAGGCGTCTGTGCCGCAGAAACACCGCACGAGGAACCAGCCTAACGCCATTGGGTTAGTTGAGTCAGGTTGCTTGCAGGGCAGGAGCACTGTCTGTGTGAAACCCAGACCGTGATAGAGGTGCCAGCTCCGCCCGACGTTGCAGTGCGGATATGACTTACATTCTGAATTTGTGAGCCATTAGACCCGAAGGGTGCTTTGCAGTGCACCTAATGCTTCCTTTCTCCTAATCCCTTTGACACCTCTCCCACATGTCCTCTGAGGTGGGTAAAACTGATATGTTTATGAGTTTTTAGATCAGGAATTTGAATTTAGAAAGGCCAAGTGAGATGTTCAGGCCAAGAGGGCGCCCCTTCCGCGTAGCAAGCGTTTTGGATTCACCTTGGAATCTCCTGTGCCTAGCACATAGTAGGTTTTTTAAAGGTTTGTCAAATAAATGGATGGCACTAGGGTTTTCTGACTCCCAAATCCAATGCCCTTTTCGCTGTATGGAGTGGCTTTGCCATTGTTATTAATTTTTTAATTATTTAAAATCATATTCAAAGCGCTACTGTTTAAAAGTCTATAATTATCTTTTAAACTTACTGGAGTAGTCCTCACCTTAGCCCTGGTGGCGCGTTGGTTAAGAGCTTGGCTGCTAACCGAAGGGTCGGCAGTTCAAATCCACCAGCCGGTCCTTGGAAACTATGCAGCAGTTTTACTCTGTTCTGTAGGGCCGCTATGAGTTGGAATCGACTCGACGGCGACGGTTCTTTTAGCACTTTAAAGTAGGCAACCAAAAACCAAACCAAACCCAACCCGTTGCCCTGGAGTCAATTCTGACTCATAGTGAGTGACCCTATAGGACAAAGTAGAACTGTCCCATAGGGTTTCTGAGGCTGTAATTTGTCCAGAAGCAGACAGCCACATCTTTCCCAGAGCATGGCTTCCAACCGCTAGCCTTTTGGTTAGCAGCAGAGTCCTTTAACTTCACCACCAGGGCTCCTTCCTGTTGGGATCAATCGATTCAAAATCATGGCAGAACCCCATGTGTGTCAGAGTAGAACTGTGTCCATTAGGTTTTTAATGGATCATTTTTTCAGAAGTAGATTGTCAGAACTTTCTGATGAGGCACCTCTGGGTTGACTGGAACCTCCAACCTTTTGGGTAGCAGCCAAGTATATTTGAACTAGACGTCTTTGTTTCTTTCACACCTCTCCACCTGTATCCTCTATACTTAAATCAGACCTAAAATTTTATCAGCTCTCCTACTTACCTACACTTTTGATCATCTAGCTCTGCTGTCGCTTTTTTTTAAGTATAAGTGATTGCAAGCAGTGTAGGTGGTGCAAACCCAAGAAAAGACATGGGTAGCTCCAAATTGTTCTAGACCTTCCGTTAATAGTAGCACTTGCTCCAAGACATCTAGTAACTTTAGTTAAGTATAGAACACTTATAAGTCCGAAATTCAAATTTGTTTTTAAAATGCTTTCTCCTTTGGTGGAACAGAGTCAAGGTATTTTTGCATCTTCAGTTCCCTTGTTATTTTATTAGAGGGAGGTTGCCAAGATTCAAAGCATAAAAAAGGAATGGCAGAGATGATCCTCATAAATATTAGTGTGATTTTAAAGGAACTTTTTCTTGTTTTTATAAAAATCCAAAGGTTTCAGTGCAGGACAGAGGTGGAAGAATGGATGGGAGATCTGTGTTAGGAATCTAGGTTGCAAATGACAAAAAAATACATTTCAAATGGTTAAAGCAGATAAAAAGAGTGAGTTGAGACACGTAACTGAAAGTCCAGGTGTGCTAGGACCTTTCAGGTATGACAGGATCCAGATACTCAAACAATATTGAAAGGAAATATAGCTCAGTTTTCTTTTGAATTAGCTTCATTCTTGGGTTTTTTCTTTTTAGGTGGTGATCTGGATGGTCACTAGGGAGTCCCCAAATTAAAACGTCATTCTCTTTATGAGGCCAAAATGTGTTATTCATCTTTATCTTAAGCCTTGGCCTTTGAAAGGCAAAAAAGCCAAATGGCTGCTTTAGGCCTTCTAACTTCTCTATGCTTATGACATCCCTACGCAGGATCATTGATTAGGTCATGTATTAAATCTGTTGCTGTTGAGTCAATTCCAGTTTATGGCTAACCCATGTGTTTTCAGAGTAGAACTGTGCTCCATCGGATTTTCAAAGGCTGATTTTTTGGAAGTAGATCACCCAGCCTTTCTTCCGAGGTGCCTCTGGGTAGACTCGAACCTCTAACCTCTCAGCATTTTTACTGTTTGCATCACCTGGGGACTCCAGGTCATTTATCAAAAAAAACCCAAACCCGTTGCTGTTGATTCCGACTCATAGCAACCCTATAGGACAGAGTAGAACTGCCCCATAATGTTTCCAAGGCTTTAATGTTTACAGAAACAGACTGCCACATCTTTCTCCTGTGGAGCGGCTGGTGGGTTGGAACCGCCAACCTTTCAGTTAGCAGCCAAGCACTTAATCACTGTGCCACCAGGGCTCCTGGGGCATGTATAGTTACCATCTAATTGGTGTAACAATGCCAGTATTACATCCCAACAAGATATGTCATTGAGATTAATTTTTAACTTCTAAATTACCCTTTCAAGTGTTTTGGAATCTGGATGTAACTTGGAGTGAAAATCTCCGTATGTACTTTATATGGTGATATTCTGTTGATAAGATGAAGTCTAAGTATATATTATTGCTGTAATTGTGAAAGCTATTAATTTCATATTCAAAAACAGTTAAAAACATTCAAATGGATTGAAATATATCAAATATATAAAAATCCAGCACTTCATTAAAAAATAATAATTGACTACTTTTGGAGGTTGCTGTTGTTGTTAGGTGCCATGGAGTCTGTTCTGACTCATTGCAACCCTGTGTACAACAGAACGAAACACTGCCCGATCCTGTGCCATCCTCATGATCGTTGCTGTGTTTAAGCCTATTGTTCCAGCCACTGTGTCAGTCCATCTTGTTCAGAGTCTTCCTCTTTTTCAATGACCCTCTACTTTACCAAGCATGATGTCCTTCTCTAGGGACTGATCCCTCCTGATAACATGTCCAAAGCACTTAAGACGAAGTCTTGCCATTCTTAATTCTAAGAAGCATTCTGGCTGTACTTCTTCCGAGACGGACTTGTTCGTTCTTCTGGCAGTCCGTGGTATACTCAGTATTCTTCACCAACACCATAATTGAAAGGCATCAGTTTTGCTTCGGTCTTCCTTATTCACTGTCCAGCTTTCTCATGCGTATGAGGCGATTGAAAATACCATGGCTTGGGTCAGGAGCACCTTAGTCATCAAAGTGCTACCCATTGCCGTCGAGTCAATTCCGACTCATAATAACCCTATAGGACAGAGTAGAACTGCCCCATAGGGTTTTCAAGGAGCAGGTGGTAGATTAAAACTGCTGACCTTTTAGTTAGCAGCCCAACTCTTAACCACTGTGCCACCAGGGCTCCCTTCAAAGTGCTAGGATCAGTTATTCTAAAAATTAAGTAAGGGAAAAAATAAGCACTTATCCTGTCTTTCCTACACAATCTGTATTTCAGGGTAACCAAAGAGTTGAGGAAAAATCCTTCATTACAGAAAAATCATAGCTAACAAATAACAGGAGGTATGATAGTATTAGAAAAATCACCATTTTGCAACCTGTGAAACAATGACTCAAGGCAATGATCATCAGTAGCTGCTAAAAAATGAGTCAGTCAAAGACTGATGATATAATGGATGTATCAGGCTGACAACACGTAAATCCACTGATCAGTCTTAACATCATTAAAAATTAGACAACTAGATTTTATACTCTTCCTTGTGTGATACAATAGGAGTACATGTCACTACCTATGAAGTATTCTAGGCCAAAAAAAAAAGTAAAAAATCTGAATCTAGTCAAGCCTCTAGATCTAAGTATCAATTATAGAAAATACGGAGAGAAGAGGTAGAGAAATCTGTTAAAACAACACTGAAAGGATAAAATTAACCAAATCCAGAATGTGGGAAATCCTATTGGACAAATTACCTGGGTTCTTTAAATAATTAAATATCATGGGCTTAAAAAGGAGGGAGTGGAAGCTTTTTTGATTAAAAGAGATTAAAGAAGAAAAAAAATCAAGTTAAGGAAAATAGATCAATAAAAATATAATATGAATGTAAGTATTACTAATTACTAAATTGCTGATACAAATGCTAATACATAGTACATTAGCCAGAAAACCTTGAGAAGAGCATTAATCCTTTTTAAACCAGTAAATATTTGTAAAAAATTTTGTAATACAAAGCAGAATAAAAAGAAATTGGAGTATATGAAAAATAGTTTTGTGTACTAAATTCATAAGATTAAACCAAGTGATCTTTAAGAACTGAAATTAAATCTGAATTACTTGATTCCGTTTAGGCTGTAAGTCTTTCAGGAAAAAGTCCTATTTGGGAATTCTTTGGCTGTCATAAAGATAAATTAAAAGTGAATGTCAGCTCTGTAATCTCAGATTTTAATGAGGAAGAAAAATACAAAATTACGTCCAGTAGCATCCATGCTAAACCACAAATGGCAGTGAGGCTCAGTGCCCTGAAGGAGAGCTGAGAATAAGAACCCTCACTTTACTTCCTTTGCTTTATAGTAGATGAAACAGACAATAAACAAGCAATAAACAAGATAACTCAGAGGATGATGTGTGCTTGAAAGAAATAAACAGATTGCTGAGATGGAGAGTATGGTCAGAGAAGGCCTCTCTGAGGAGGTG